AAATATTGGATTGCATTTGTTGATGTTCATTGTGTTTAGTAAATTTTCTGGGTGTTGTTTATAGTTTTTGTAAATGTAAAAATCTTCTTTAACATGTAATTTTGATTTGTCTTTTTCATATTCAAGGATTTTTTAATTTTCGTGGATGCTTTTGTATTCATGGTCTGTTTGTATTAAATGTTCTGCAAAATTAGATTTCATTGTTGTGCGGTTTCCTGATCTTAATGCTTGAATGTGTTCTTTGAACCGTTTTTCAAAAGTTCGACTTGTTTGCCCAATGTAGGATTTATCACAATTAGAACATTTGATTTCATAAATACCTGATTTTCTTATATTGTCTTGATTTTGGTTAGCTATATTTTCTTTTGAAATTTTGTTATTGATCATTTGAAAAGCATTATTTTTTGTTTTATAACTGATTATTACATTTGAACGGTTGAAAGTTTTTCTTAGGGCTTTATTAATTTTGGTATTGTACGGTATACAAATAAATTCTTTTCTCTTTTTGTTTTCTGTTCCTGAAGTAGTTCCTTGTGTTTGAAGTTTTCTCTTAAATTTCTTCTTAATCATGTTTTCAATTATAGATGGATTGTATCCATTTTTCACTGCCAAATATATAATAGTATTTTTTTCTTTGTTTAAGTTTTCAGTGGACATAGGAATATTTACAAGTCTGTGTGTTAACGAATGAAATGTTGCCAATTTATGTTGCCATGGATGATTAGAATGTGAAGGTATGATACTGTTTGTTGTAGTTGGTTTTCGGTAAATTTTAAATCTGTGAATGTGTTTTTCTTTTGAAATGGTTATATCTAGAAAGTTAATGTGTGAATGTTGTATTTCTTTTGAGAATTTAATTTGTGTCGAGATTGAATTTATGTGTTCGTGTAAATTGTTTGCTTCGGTTTGTGTTCCTTCAAAAAGGCAAAGGATATCGTCAACATATCGGTGCCAGTAAATAATTTTGGATTTGTAAGGGTTGCTTTCAATTAAAACTTTGGTTTTCTCTAAATTATTCATGTAAATGTCAGCTAGAAGTCCAGACAGAGGAGAACCCATAGGTAAACCGTCTTCTTGAATGTAAAATGACTGATTATATTGAAAATAATTTTGGTTTAATGTAATTTTGGTTAGCCTAACTAAATCATTAATTTGAGTTGTTGTGATTGTTCCATGTTCTATTAATTGTTGTTTCATTATTTTAATTGTGTCATCTATCGGTATGTTCGTGTACATGTCATTTACATCAAATGAAAGAAATAAAGAATTTTGTGGTATGTGAATATCTTTGATTTTGTCAATTAATTCATATGTATTGGCTACATTTATATCATTATTCATGTTTATGTCCTGTTTTATTTTGTAATGTAAATACTTACATAGATTGTATGTAGGTGCTTGACGGATATATATATATATATATATACATATATAAAAATTTGGTGTACATATATAAACGAATGGTGTTTTTGGCCTCTGGGGACATTAAAATGAAAAAGTAAATCGGTCCCGGGCCTAAGTCTTACCATGAGACCTACGGTAATAGCTACTTCCCTATAGGGAAATTCGCTAATAATAAGAATAACATAATAAATAAAAGAACCTCTCTTTACCCAACTGGGCAGAATCGTACATTAAATTAATCATCTTTATTGATCAACTGAAGATAATTTAAAGTATTTTAAGGCTAGTCCTGTGCAAATAATGTATGAGGCGTTTAGCTTTTACATTGTTTATTCATTATTTACGAAGTTGAATTTCAACTAAATATAACAATTTATTTATTGCTTATCTTCTGCAATTGGTCAAAGAGTAAAGCGTAGCAAGATCGCACATTAAACTATAGTTTAAAATAATAAGGTTTAGTCGAAATCTCTGCCTTGCCAACACTCACGTGAAAATATTGTACCATAATATACAAAGCTATGAGAAGTCCACGTAAACTATTAAAAGTCAATAGTATTACTATTTTGATCAAATCCACTATTATAATATCATGAAAACTGTTCCAACAATGAAGATATATCAGCTGATGTTGAAAATGTCATAAAACTCATGACGGCCCCTACAACAGTGATTCATTACTTCATATGTCAAAGTATTGCCATGGGAAATTTATATTTGGCCTTTTCAATAGACTGGACGACAAATTCAAATTTATCACAGCTACATACAGGTTTTACTGTATGCATGTTTGCAAAGGTTAAAATAGTGTGATACATAACCACCAATCGTTGCAATACAAGTCAGAAGAAAGGATTAATTGTAAACTAATAGAAATCACATTTGAAATGGGAAACTATACGTATGAAAAAATGCTTGAAAATAAGGCAGGATGAAATGTAAGTCTGTTTTAGACTTAGATTTTGTTCATTTTGTCCCATTGTTTTGTTAAGAAAGAAACTGCTACAGTCAAAATATGCATTAACATGTTTAAAATACAATTTAAAAAAAACATAAAATAACTTCTCTCTACCTAACCGGTAAGAATCTTACCTTAAATTTGTGTTCAGCTGATGAATAAGGATGTTAAACTTGTAAGGAGACTATATAGATTAAATCGAATTTCTTTAGGATTTATTATCCTTATTGATCAACTGAAGATAATGTAAAGTATTTTAAGGCTAGTCCTTTGCGGTTTATGTATAAGGCTTTATCTTTTACATTGTTTATACATTATTAACCAAGTTGAATTTTACTTTTAACTAAATCTTTTTTAAATAACAGAAAAGTGCATTAATACTGTATAACATAAAATCAAAACTGAATGAGTTTGCATAATGTAATCCACAAAGATAGAATAATTAATTTAATTTAATCATGGATATATATATAAATTTATTACAACTATTGTGTTCAACTGTATACGCACATTGATTGATAATGCGTTCATGGAAACTCCTAGAAATGCATCAATATTCAAATTTAATTTGTTGAGTACAACAAACATAATGCTATGAATATCACAGTTCAATATTGCACATTTGGATGGTTCACGTTCATATAATATTTTCCTTGTACAACATTTGATTCCTGGTACAGATTCGATTCAATCAATTAACAACCAATCACAGCAAAGCATCTCGGGTTGCTCAGAGGACGTGTTGAACGGTGATTGGTGTAATTTTTAATCGGACACGCAGCCATGGTGTTCTAGTCTTCGCCATGTTGGATTTTATACGTGAGCATTAGTCAAATTTAGGTGTTATAATACTAATTAAATACTACTTCAATATCTATTTGACATACTCCAACTTTTTAACACGTTAAGCAAATATATTCACACAATAGTCTTTAATCAGACCTGATGACGACCGCTTGCCTTGTTTTTTTTTTTTTGTTTTTTTTTTTTTTGTATATTTACCGTCTTGTAGAAGTTCACAGTATACGTGTAGAGATGTATCTAGTGCTTTTGGAAGACTCATTTTCCTATATTCGTATATTATTGCCAATGTTAATCAAAAAGAGGTATTCATTACTTATTCTTCCTTGTATTGTCAAAATACATTGTTGACAAAAACTTTTCATTAACATAAAATTAATGTATTTTTTTAGACAAGAAATATTAGCGCGCAGTGGTTTAAGGATTGTAGCTCTGCAGACACAGAAACTTTCTGACGAACAATCAAAAAATTTTCCAGTATAAAAATCTATAACATTTTTCCTAAGTTGACAAATAATTTAATTTTATTACGTTAGTTAACTAAAAAATAAGTTATAGCTGTAATATACATTTTCGTATCTTAACTTTAAACTAATCTTAACTTTTATGGGGTTAAAGTTGGTTTTCCTTTTTTTTGACCCTAAAAACACAAAATTTTACAATTTCTTTCTAATCTATTTTGTATAGCTTAAAAAAACAAATAATTTAGTCTATTGAAGCGTTATTATGCGCCTAGTGGTTACGGAGAAAATTCAAAAAAAAAATAAATTTAAAATTCTCATGTTATTTTTACGGAGAATAAGTCAACTGTTGTAGTTGGCGGGGGTGTTTTTAAACAGTATATAATAGTAGTATTATAAAAAAACTTGGTGTTATAGATTGCTTTATATTTTTGTTTTTAGAATGGGGGATCAAAGCCTCATCAAAATTACAGTTCTATTATTGTTATACTAGAATGTTGGAAGTACGTATCCAACATACGTATAGTATATCCAGCAGACTTGATATCTAACAAAGTTTGTTCATACATCACGACTGGTTTGAATGAAGATTGTATCTCATGAACTTACCTGCCACATCCATAGTACTCATGACAACTTACTCAAGTTTGAACTTCAACAAACTGTAACAAATACGACCAAATAACATAATGCTGTTAAATACATAAACTAAGGGGCTTTGATTGATTAAAATCCAAGCGAGTATGTTTTATCTATGTAAAAATAACATACACCGCCTTTTAATTAATATGATTTAATTAATTGTATATCAGTGATGATTGGTAATTGTCTGTAAACAATGTTTTAACGGCTGAGAGCCTAGTCACGATATACGATCCAAAATAATGAGGATTTCAGCTGAATTTAATGGCAAAGTGAGAAAAAATGTATCCGATTGTAGGTAGATTACTCAATACTCAACAATTGAGAAACTCACTTTGTGGATAAAAAGAAACAGTTTACAAAATAATATTGACCCAACTTAAAACTCCATATAACAGAGCAACGAATTATAATCATGCCGCTCACCAAAATTGACTTTTAGAAGTCACCTAATCTGGCTTGACATTTTTCCTTATTTTCTTTTTTACTGTCTTTAATCACATGTTTTGATTTACCATTAAACTACAACTCTAAAACAACAATGCATTAGGATTTGAATCGTCCTGGCTAAAGAAACACATGGTTTAGCCATTTCAGAGCTAAATATGTCTTTTTGCTCGACTTTTTACTTCACATTTTTTTAAATGCACATTTAGTGAGAATTATGTTTTGTATCATGCGATTCCGATTGTATATTTTTTACAGAATCAATCAAAACAATGTTCATGTTTTAGGGCCAGAAATGCCTCCGCAAATGTTCCTCGGACGAGGACTGTAAGAGCAAGAAGAAGAAATGTTTGTGCGACGGAGCTTGTGGCATGTCTTGCATCAAACCTGGTAATTATATTATTACATTATAATAATACATTTTAGAACATACATTTTTGGAGTAGTTTAGTTGCATGTTTGAAATAAATACTCCTAAATAAACTCAAGGTCCTTAAGAATGCAACTTAATAGTTGTTAAGCATAAATAGAGATTTAGTTATTCTTTCTGGATAGTTGAGAATCAATTATTTGATTTCTTCATTGGCCAGACAACTTTCAAAATTTGAAATTGTCAAATCTTCACACGGCGAGCCTAAAACTCGAACTCTGATGATACATACATGGTCAATTTACTTATTTAGGAAACTCTTTACCTATCTAGTCTTGAGTTGCGAGAAGTATGAAATATCAAACTCAAATAAAGTTTAAGCTTCATGGTAAAACCAACAAATTGAGTTCACACAAGAACAACTGCCTATGAATCCAACTGCTTTTTTATGGACACAGTAATATTTGTTTAATACCAAAAGGCTAAGTCAACATCTTGTTACTGTGCCAAAACTCCCAACCCTCTACTACTACTTCTTCCGAGATTGCAGCGCCTGAGATTGTTCTCGTCTTTTGTCACCCTTCAACAATAAACAAGGAACGTTCCACGTCAATGCTTGTTGATAATCTCGCCACTGCTGATTCCTTATTTCAGAATCCCTTCAGCATTCAGTAACGGCCTGTGTAAAACGAGAGTTTTGAAACTCAAAATCATAAACTGATCTTAATTTTAACACTTACACCAATAGCTCACGGATTGATGAGCTTTGTTGAAGTTAATTATTAATGATAACACGCTAAAAACCATAATGTCTCAGATTTAGTTTGTATATATAATCTGTGAGAGTTACAAAACGAAATTCTTTGAAATTGTAGTTCCCAATCATGTTTATTACGGACATGTCATTCGAAAAAGCCACAAATCCCTCTTACCCCTTTGCAATTCTTCAATATTTCTTAAATGTTTTCTTAACAGTAAATTATCTTTTGAAGGAATAACTAAGTTCACTTTAAATTATAAAATAATTGTCTGAGATTGGTGGTTCTAAATTAATGGAATCATTTTTCGACCTGATTCCATTCATCATTGAAATAACTACAGAGAAACATTTTATCAATTGGTCAATGTTGGAAAACTTTATAAAAATGTGTTTATAAATGTACAATTTTAGAGAAAAATATAGTTGGGTTTCGTTGACTGCCTAAGTTCATTTAAAGCTGGAGAGACTTTTAAAGCAATATGGCAATTTCAAAAGCCGAAGTTTCCGGCAATATTTACGATAAAACTCGCTCAGGTCAATAGCGACAGTCTTACTTTTGCCTTCCGTCTTTTTAATAACCTTTATACAGGGTGTTCTGAAAATCCATGTTCTCCTTTTGTGGATTTGTTACTCACGTCCTATTGTGGATCACATTACTCTATACTATAAATATGGACCAAAAATTCGAAATAAAAATGAATTGTATTAAAATCATTAAATGTTTGTTTAAGGTAACTTGTAGAACAAATTGCACACTATTGCGAAAATTATAGACACCACATAAATCTAATAGGGATAAAATTGTTTTACTGGATTGCTAATAGAATGATTTGCTTATTAAAGTAAAAAGAGTTTTCTTAAGTGAACTGCCTGTGTTGTAACTTAAACCTTTATCATGGCTTGCTACCCTGGATGATTATTAATAAATTCCTAGGGAGCTGAAAATGGTAATTAATAGCTCAAATAAGCAAAAAATATTATTGTGTTGGGTGTTAATTAATTATCATACCAAGACGTTGTGAGAGTTAATATTGTGATGAATAGAATTGACGATATCTGGTTATTTATTGTGATAAGCATTGTTAGTCGGCAAACTTTAGTGTTAGATGTAGATGCAGTGTGTGTAATGTTGACAAATAGTTTGGAATACTACGTTCAACACGGCTACATGGCTAGCACGACTTTCCCATTAGACCTTCATGTCCCTAGGCCAAGGGTCAGTTCTGTAATTATGTTTAAGAGATTAATTTACCCTTAAACTTACGACAACGATGTACAGTATGTGTTATTTAAATAACATTTAGTTTTAATGAGTACTTAGGTTTGCTGCCATAGGGAAGATAATAAGATGTAGTGTTTTTATTGAAATATTGATAGCTTAGTATAAAATAAACAAATTGCATTCTAATATGTCTATAAACAAGCAAACCACAACAGTTATTTACTCTCTATAAGAATAACATGAAAATTTTAAACTAACACTTTTTTTGCATAACCGTTAAGCATACAACGACTCTTCAATACACTAAAAATGTTTAAGCGTTTCCTTTTTTAAGCTCTACAAAATGGGTTAGAATACAATTGTATGTAAAATAGTAAACATTTATGCTTTAAGGATCAAAAATTGGAAAGAGCAATTTTCCTATAGTCAATATATTCTGACTTAAGTATCTTGAAGTCAGATCGCAACATTTAATTCTATGTAAAGCCGAACTGTCAAAACGAATTGACAAATCCACCGAAGCCTAATTGCTGCAGAGTATTGGTAAAGATAAATGTGACCCTTCTCTTGAAAAGATCCCAAATGTTATCCAAACAATGTGAACTCAAGCCAGAAATTTTAACACGCCATAACTTCGAAATTGACAGTTCTAATGAACGAGCGGATTTGAACGTGCATAATAGACTTTAGGATCAACCCGGCAACTGATAACCGGCACATTTATTTAGACCAAATATTATTTACTAGAATAACGTAAAGTTTTTGGGGAAATCCTCACGTGTAAAAAAGTCAGTGAAGCACCCAGTAATACACACAATATACAGCGGTCTGCTCGGATGAGATTTTGCATTGTTGTCATTGTATTGTCACATTCTGATCCCGTCGGAGTGGTGTCGTCTTTTGTCCTCTACACATCACGGGTCCTTGATAACTCATATACTTGATTACAGTTTACTGTTGATAACGTTAGATTCTGCTATGCAATACACACCGGTGTTTCAAATTCGTCCCGGTCCCCATATCTAAATGTTTTTTTGTTTTTTTTTGTTTTTTTTATTACCAAGAGTTTATTTAGTTTACTTTTACTTATAACTTGATTGTTGGAAATACCTTAGTCGTTAGTTTTCCCGTTGTAAAACTTTTATTATAGCTACATTCAATCAAAATATCATCTTAATGTATTATAAGTCTTATAATACTTTTATTTTGCAAACAGCACAGTGCGGAGGTTATGTCCTCATTAAGGTCCTGGAAATATTGTAAATATTACCGATGTGGTTTTAATGTTATGGCATAACATAGCCTAACCAAACTGCCACAGTGCTGTTTACAATATTGTAATCCGTGTACTCAACAAAAACCTTGTTGTTCAACTTGTGTACTGTGTTTTTAAAAAAAATCTTGCCTAGCCTGTCATGTATTGTTTCTAAAATGTTCTTGTAATGTTACTGTCACTTGGCGGTTTTGTAAAGAATAAATGCGGGGACCTATTAGGAAAAATGTGTTATAAATATATATATTTCATTTCGCACTCCTTATACGAATTTCGACATATTCATATACTTTTCTAAATGATGTCTTATTAATTTTAAACAATCTGATGCGCAATGTTTGCAACTTATTGTTATGTAAAAACTATCAATGAACTAATGGATTTCCGGAAACAGCCCGTTTATCCATTATTACTTTATTCAAGAAGACTATTCGTTATAAAATTTCCAAAATTAAATTCTACAAAACTTTGTGTAATGTTCATAAACTGTTATAGTGCACAAAAATCCCATTTATAATAAATAAATACTCATGAACAATCTAACAAACTATTTCTAAATGCAAACCACTTACAGTTGCATACTGTAATAACCATTATCAAAAAAGTAATAGACAAATGTAGAAAATCAAGAATCTAGATGTAATAAAAATGTAATATTCCAAGAATAGGATCAGATGGCGGGAAAGGCTGTAACGGACATTGGAAAGGCGGGAAATGTACCGTAAACGAACATCAGCTGAGATTCAGCCACAACAATAACACGCATCGTATATGACCTGGTCGTTATTGTGTATCAAACAATCTTTTGTAACGGAAATATTTTTCTTTTATAGCTTTTGTGTAATAAATTGAACAGGAATTATAGATGGATTAGAGGCCAATTCCAGTAAATAGATCCAATATTTATTTACTTTACACAAATATAAAATAATATATTCAATCTATTTACTGAAATTGACCTCTTAATCCATCTAAACTTTTACTGCTGATATTGTGTTGCATAGTCAGAATAATTTTGATTTACCCCTACTAATTATTGCAGTAATAAATCAACCCCAACACATTTGTAGTATTTGTTAGGGTAAGGCTAGGTTTGATTAGAACCAAGACGTAACCGAAGTATTGTTACATACATATATAAATAACTAGCTGTTAACCCGCGGGCTTTGTCCCGTTTAACTTCTTAATTTTCAAGATGATCTCGTTCGCATGGCTCAATCACGTCCTGGTTGAAGTTCGTTCGCTACGCTCACTCACCTTTAGGTTGGAGTTCGCTCACTCGCCCCCAGGTTGAAGTTTCTTTCGCTACGCTCACTCACCTTTTGGTTGCAAATTAGCTGTTGTCATAAATGTAAAAGAAATAATAGTGCTGCACCCCGTTGGTAATCCTTGTAACATTAATGCTATTGAACATCATAGAACAGAACCAACTTGTTTAATTGAAACAGCTGTTAAGATTCATTAATTCCATTTCTCATAAGGTTAACATGGGAAACTCCAGAGCCACTGGGGCGGAGCCCAGAGGTCGGAGGGTAAAATCCTTTCTTAGTGAGCGTCTACTACCCAAAAGGAAGATGCCTGCCAAGTTTCAGGTTCCTAGGTCTTATGGTTTCTGAGATTTCGTGATGAGTGAGTGAATGAATGAATGAATGAATGAGTCAGTGGTATTTGAGCTTTATATATATAGATAAATTGGTGGTCGTGTAACGGAGAAGGACTAGTAAGTGGTCTTACTATTTTAACATAGCATAACCATTTTATTAAA